CTGTTCTTTTGTGGGGGTGGGACAAGCCGAGCCTGATCACCTGGCTCCCTGCCTCAGAGCCTTTTTTTTTTTTTTAGTTGAATAGTCGACTCTCTCCCATGTGTTCCAGTCGCCTGTTGAAAAGGCGCCGGGATCTGTGTGATTTCCTGTGCTGTGACTCACTGCGCCGGCTTAAACAGTGGTGGCACTGATATTCGTGGCCCTTTTTTTTGCCCAGGAGCCTCCTGGCCTGGCTCCCTGTTCAGTCCCCTTTTTAATCAGATGAATGGGAGACTTCCCAAGGCTCCAGTCACCAGCTAAAAGGGCACCCAGACTAGTGTATTTTGTACAGAGAACTGTCACGCCGGGTTTCTGGCAAAGCAGCCACGCCATGCAAAGCAGGCATGTCAGCCAAAACAGCTGCGCTAGCCAGAACAGTCACATCAGCCAAAACAGCCATGCTGGCAACCCGTGGGGCTCCTCTGCCTGAAATCTCCTGATCTGTGGGCAATAAAAATCCATCTGGAAATGTGGTGTCCACTCACCCTCTGTGCTTTCACTTGGAGCTGCAATCCTGAGCTGTTCCCAAACGGCCATCTTGGATCTTCCTCATTTGTTTTTTTCTTGTAAATTTGTTTAAGTTTTTTGTAGATTCTGGATATTAGCCCTTTGACAGATGGGTAGATTGCAAATATCTTTTCCCATTCTGTTGGTTGCCACTTCACTCTAATAATAGTTTCTTTTGCTGTGCAGAAGCTCTTTAGTAATTAGATCCCATTTGTCTATTTTGGTTTTTGTTGCCATTGGTTTTGGTGTTTTTGTCATGAATTCCTTGCCAATGTCTATGTCCTGAATGGTATTGCCTCAGTTTTGTTTTGGGGTTTTTATGGTGTTAGGTTTTATGTTTAAATCTTTAATCCATCTGGAGTTAATTTTTGTATTAAGGTGTAAGAAAGGGTGCCAGATATAGGTGATGGGGAGGAAGGCAGTACATCACACTTCCATGTGTGTACCTATGCAACAATCTTGCATGTTTTTCACATGTACCCCAAAACCTAAAATGCAATTAAAAAAAAGGGATCCAGTTTCAGTTTTCTGCATATAGGTAGCCTGTTTTCCCGACACCATTTATAAATAGGGAATCCTTTCCCCATTGCTTATCTTTGTCAGGTTTGTCAAAGATTAGATGGTTGTAGATATGTGGCATTATTTCTGATGCCTCTGTTCTGTTCCACTGGTCTATATCTCTGTTTTGTTACCAGTACTATGCTGTTTTAATTACTGTAGCTTTGTAATATAGTTTTAATTTATGTCTCTGTCAGGTTTCGATATCAGAATTATATTGGTGTCATAAAATGAGTTACGGAGGATATCCTTAATTATAATAACATGTTTATTTGAACACGATTTTATAATATCACGTGTTTTAAACCTTTAATCTGTTTGGTAGCCTTCCCCAAATGAAACTTCTGTTTCAAGGTTGTCTGTTCTGATGTCTATATTTTGGATGCTACAGAAGACCTCCGGAACATCCAGAAGATAGGTAAACAGGATTATTTGACATGTTTAGTTACATGGGATAGAAACAATGTTTAACCTTTTTCAGGACATATTTTAGTGAATAATATTTATATAGCTACCAAAATCATATGGAATATTTCAAATTCTAATGTCTGAGTGTGTGCTGTGAGTCATAATTTAGGTCATTATGTTAAGCTATTGTAAAACAAGGAAATAACCAAATTTATTTCTCAATTGTGTTCTTTGACTACAACTACCCTGGAAATTTTGTCATTCACAGACATTTGTTATTTTGTTTTGATCCTCTTGAAAAGATGATTTACAATCAGTTATTGCACTTTAACAGGTGCTCATAAATGCAGGTTTCTTATATTTTTAGAGATTGTGACATTGAAATAAAAATGTACAGGACCCATTAAGAGCTGAAATGCTCATGAATATCAAGCAGAACAAGAGTTAACTGAATGGACTGAACCAACAGAAAACTGACGTAATCCTTTTTATCTTTTTGCCTAAAACTGCTGAACCTCGTTTTGTTTTTCGGAGACAAGAAATTTTTTTTCGAGCTATCTACAGCTTTTAACAATTGAGTATACTCCTGTGAACAAAATTTAGAGTACATTTGTTTCTCTCTGCCTGATTTCTCTAGAATTCAGATTGACCTCACATCGCTGTGCTCGTAGCTAGAATTTCAAGCCAGTGGATCTTAGCTTGCTGTGCTCCATGAGGGTGGAACCTACTAAGCCAGACCACTTGGCTCCCTGTCTTCAGCCCTCCTTCCAGGGAGTGAAGGGTTCTGTCTCGCAGGCATTCCAGGTGTGCCTGGGGTGTGAGAAAAAAAAAAAAAAAAAAACTCCTGCCATTAGCTCCATGTCTGCCCAAATGGCTGCTTAGTTTTGTTCTTGAAACCCAGGGCCCTGATGGCATAGTCACTGGAGGGAGTCTCCTAATATGCTGGTTATGAAGACCATGGAAAAATCACAGTATCTGGGCTGGAATGCATCATTCTTCCTGGTACAGTTTCTCATGGCTTCCCTGGCTTGGGGAGAGAAATCCTTGGACTCTTTCTGCTTCCTGCGGGAGGCGATTCCCCACTTTGCTTTGGCTTGCTCTTTGTGGGCTGCACCCACTCTCCAACCAGTCCCAATGAGATGAACTGGGTACCTCAGTTGGAAATGCAGAAATCACCCACCTTCTCCATCGATCTTACTGGGAACTGCAAACCGGATCTGTTCCTATTCAGCCATTTTGAAATGTGATAATTTCCCATAGTTTTTTTTTTTTTTTTTTTTAAAAAAAAAAGGGAAAAAGTGAAAGGAAAATAAATCTTTGGCTCAAAATTATTGAGTTAAAAAAAAAAGACAAGCTGGACACTGGTTAGGGCAAACCTGCCTTCAATTCTATTCAGAGTCATCCTGTGCTGAGATAAATTCATATCTGACTGCTTCATTTGGAAAGTCCAGTCAGAAAAATGAATGCAACTATTTCTCTCTTGTCTACCTATAACTTCAAAGCCTCCTCTCCACTTCAAGTTTTCCCATCTTCACCTTGAGTTATCCTATCACTTCAGACAAAACAAATGTAAATCTTACACATATATTTAATTATGTCTTATATTCTCCTAAAATGTATAAAACCAAGCTGTGCCCTTGCGATCTTGGCCACAAGTCATTTGGACCTCCTGGGGATGTGTCACAGGTGTGCATCCTCAACCTTGGCAAACTAAACTTTCTAAATTAACTGATACCTGTCTCAGATTTTGGGGGTTCACAAACTATACTCCAAGGTTATAGTAAGCAAGCACCATAGATCTGATACAGAAATCATAACACAAAACCAATGGAACAGCTTAGAGAAGGTTGCAGGCTGCGCTCTTACAACCATCTGATTTTAGAAGCAATGGGGAATGGATTCCCTAGTCAATGAATGGTACTAGGATAACTGGTTAGCTATATTCAGAAGAGTGAAATTGTACAACTTCCTTCTAACATATTAAAAAAATCAACTTAAGATAGAATAAAGACCTAAATGTAAAACTTAAAACTATAAAAGCCGGAGACAAAAGTCTAGAATATAGTATTCTGGACATAGGCCATAGCAAAGGTTTTATGATCAAATGTCACATGGTCTCACTTATTTCTCGGATCTAAAAATCAAAGCAATTAAATTCATGGATATAGACAGTGGAAGGATGGTTACCAGAGGCTGGGAAGGGTAGTGAAAGAGTGAGTGGGAATTATTAGTGGAAAAATAGAAATAATAAAACCCTGGTGACCATAGTCAATAATAACTTAATATTTGCAAATAACATAAAGAGTGTAATTGGAATGTGTTTAACTTAAAGAATGACTGAGGGTATCGCTTCTCGGCCTTTTGACTAAGATCAAGTGAAGAATGACTGAGGGGATGGATACCGCATTCCCTATGATGTGCTTTTTTTCATATTGCATGCCTCCATATCAAAACATGTCATGTATGACATAAATACTATGTACCCACAAAATTAAAAATAAAATATTAAAAACCATCTTCTGTGTGGTAAACATTAGAGTTCCAAATATAAGGCTGGAGATCCCCATGAAACAACATACACTCTTTTGACTTGAAGAGTTTCTCTTTTCTCTATACATAGGTATTTGGAGAAGCTGACATTCTGGAACATTGACTTCCAACACAGCAAGAGGGATAGCCACACATATAAAATACAAGGACAGAGCAGGACTCACCAGTGCATTCTGTTGAAAAAGTGAGCAAGCCAAATTAAAATTATTTTTTAAACTAATTTTTAGCTACTGAAAGGCCTATAGGACATTATCAGAGTTTCTGTAGGACCTAAGATTTAGAATGTGAACTTGAATGTGATTTGGATCATTATCGAGTAATTGCTGTGAAAACCCAGGTTGGTGTTGGCCACATATGACTACAACACTCAGATGGGGAGAATTAAAAACTGTTTCTTTGAGAAGTTCCTCTAAGGGTGGCAGTAAACTTAGTGCCTTTCAGTGTTCTCCTTTTTGCTACAGACTCACAGACAGCGAGAGACACCTGGCACCCACACATCACTTCCTTAGCAGCCAAGATCAGCATCTCACCCAGAATGAATTCTGGCTGTGGGATAATATGGCATACACAGTGAGATGTTTGGCATTTAGTAATACCTAGGTGAGAGCTTTCTAAGCTCTTATGAAGTGTATGATGCATAAGGTCCATTTCTAAATACTAGAAACATCATGCTGTGAAAGCACACATCTACAGTTAAGATGATAATGCCATGCAGAAAAACATGTGGCTATCACCAGTCTTTACTTTTTCAATAGCCTTGCACATGGCTGTTACTGTACTGCAGAAGTCCAGTATCAATAGTTTATATTTCCTCATTGTGTCATCAGCCCAATACCAAGTACTGTCAAAATTACACCTGGAGGTGCTAAAAGGAAAATAATCTGATGAAGTGTACATTTTCAGTCTCAAGTTCCAAAGATTGGTCATCAAAAAGTGCGTGTCTATCTTGGCTGTCATCTTTACTACACTGTAGTGGTCTGAGGTGTGAGGAGTGAACACCGCAGAGTTCTGGTTGCCCTTGTGAGGTTTGCTATCATAAACTTTGTCAAAGGAAGCATGCCTGATTACAGAAATGAATATTGTTCCCTGACAATCAATATAGAATCCTGGGTCATACTTCTCTTTACATTTAATAATAGCTTCTGCTAAATCTGTGATGTTCTGTAGGATTGTATCACTTATATCTAACATCTGAAATGTGATGCAAGGCACTTTCATCAAAAAGGCTCTAGTCACACCAGAGACAACAAATCCTGGATAGATGTATTCCACATATCTTATTGTTCTCTAAGTGAGAGCTGTCACAGAATAATCATTTTGGTCTTCAAGGCCAAAAGCAGAAAAATTCCTCATGGCACTTTTTTAGGTAAATGTTTCTGGGATCTCTTCATTTAGTTTTCGAATTCTCTACAAGAAGAAAACATGATAAAAGTACTTGATTTCAATTTTCATTGTATCACCTACTCTCATCTCAGAATGTTGACTTTTCATTTCTGAAATCCAATATACTTAGAGTCATAAGGCAAATATTTAGCTATTTCAAATATGTTGCCTAGAACTATTTGTGGAGGCAATTTACCAGGTTTTAAGGCACCTGAATTGGGACATTTGTTTCCATGTTTTTTAGAAGCAAGTTATCATTATGTTTATTATACATGAACACAATCTGTTCTAGTCTTCATAGTGTGGAACCATATTTGTCTGTAAAGAACCTGCACAATTTACACTCCACTGAGCTTTTCTGTAGATGGCCTTTACATATATATCCACTCCCCTCTCCAGATTTTTGTCAATATTTGGTGGAAAACGGCTTTTTCTTCTATCTTTCTGGCTCTTGTGTCCATGACAAATGCAATTTGCAAGAAGCAGTCTAAATGCACTGGACAGATATAAAATCCATGCACTACTCTCTAGATATCTTCATTGAGTTCTTGTTGTTATGCCATTCTTTGGCTCATCACAGAATGAAAAAAAATGGCTTCTGCTTGAAAATAATATCAAAATCCAACATGAAAGAAGCATCCAGAAAGTTCATCACTGTTTAAAATCAATTTACACTTACCAACAACTCCAGAACGCATCCTCTTTCTGTAACTTAAGAATGTAGTAGACAGCAACCATATTAAAATTCTTTTAAGGCATCCTACAGTGATTATGGAATCACACCTTTCTATCTTGACAGAATAATTCTGAATCATGTATTAAGCCTAACATGACTTGGCAAACTATAAATCTTCATTAGTATACTATTCATTGTCATCTTGTAAAATGACATACTAATTGATTTTGCTGGCAAAAACTGAGAACAGTTACATTTTCATCATGCTTAATTTACAGAAGTTTTCATTTTCTTTTCCCACCCAGTGGCAAAATTTCATGACTCTAAAGCACTTAAACTCTCATCATATCATTTTTGTAAAGAAATAACACAAAGCAATAAGATTTTTTAAATCGACTAGCAGGGAGTTTGTAATTTATGTATTAGAAAAACCATTTAACTTGTTCTCTTTTATCTGCTGCAATGCTTTCCCAAAAACATTAGATTTGTTTTTTTATGATGTGTTAGTACATGAACCCGGGTAAAGAAAGAAGTCTGAGGCCTCATTTAACATGGGCTTATATTACTTTTCTGGGCATTGAGGAGATCATAAAAACACCATCAAAACTGTAAGTTAAAGTGAATTGACTGAATTTTTAAAATAACGAGACAAAAAAGTTACAATTTATGTTTGTTAAAATAAATGTTTTATAATTGTAGTATTTTCAAAAGACAGGGTCATGCTGTTGCCCAGGCTGCAGTGATAGGGTGCAGTGGCTGTTCACTGGCACCATCATTTCACAGTACATCCTTGAACTCCTGGGCTTAGCACCTGGCTTTTGTGATTTTCACCCAGTTGTCAACAGTCAAACTCTGGATAAGTTTCTTAATAAGTCAACCACAGTTGAACTATTTTTTTCCTTACCAACTCTGTAATTGATACTCCTTGTCATTATTGTATTGACTTTGAGATCCCCAGAAATAGACTCTTATTATGGGTGAAATCACATGAAGATGTTGCCTGGGCGATCCTTGGTGTCTTCATGGAAGAAAGAATTTACACAAAAGACCAATTTGTAAATAAAGAAAAGTTTTATTGGGAAAGTACAAATACACTCTAAGAGAGGAGGGGGCTGACCCTGCGGGAAACATCCCCATGACATTCTGCATTGTGATCTTCTATTGCCTCGGTTCTTTCTTTGTCCAGTTCTCACCAAAGTTCAGGGGATCCACCCTTACCGTGCTTAATGCACATGCATGGGAAACATCAATACAAATCGTACCTAATGGTGGCACTGCATATTACCACCACCCAGGAAAGGCATAGCAGTCAATTTTGTACTCATTGTGCCTGCTCAGCTCTCAGGAATTCTCCTTTGCCGTATTTCCTTATCATGATCTAGTTAACAACATTCTGACAGTTTGAAGATGGAGTGAGTACTGAGCATCCAAAGAGGTGTTCCGGGGGGTTCTTTCCAACATGGATACCTCCCCATTGTGCCTGCTCATATGTGACTGTCTATGCTTACATTTCTCCTTCAAGTGGTTGGGACCCAGAAATCTTTTGGGAGATGGGGCAGAGGTCACTCTCTGTAGATACTTCCTGCTGAAAAGGGGGATCGAGGGTCTTCAGGCCTTCCTCCTTGCTTGCTGTCATGGTGAGGCGGTTTTGATGACTGTTGTCTCTCAGAAGATTTCACCTGTGCTGTCCAGAGGCGACATATAGGGACTTGGTTGTCCTGGAGGGAAAGAAAGAGGTTGATATCCCCATCACAAGACCATTTGAAGTCTGATGATTTCTAGGTGGGAGGAAATAAACTGAGAAGATTCAGAGAGCAAGGCTCAAAAAGGAGAAGGAAGATAGAGGCCAGGGGTCCCAGGAAAGGGAAGAGCTATGGGACTGAAGATCAGGCGACACCCCAGCTGAGCCAACTCTTAATACCTCTTTACCAAAGGTGAGAGGCCTGGTCTATAAGATTTCTAATGTGTTCTTGGACCTGCTCTGATCTGTTAACCGAAAAATACAAGAATTATGTTAGAAATCTAAAAACTAAAGAGATACTGTAACTAACCTTTGACAAGCAGTTCTCCATTCTGATATTTGAAGACAATGAGCTTGACATAGAAATCCTTAAGTCTTCTCTTGGATTATGTATTCTGGTGAGACCTAAACTGTCATTAAACTTTCCATTGCAAGGTGATTCTAGGACTGGCATCATAGTCTATGTGGCCAATAAACATCTGATCTGTTCCTTCACTAGGAGTTTGGTACTAAAATCTGCTAGAAATTCCTTCTGTAAGACTGCAAAACATAAATGCTGAGTGTTCATTTTTTCCCCAAATGATGTCTAAATAATGTGTTGTTTAAAAAGTCACCATGAGTGAATGAAATATACCACAAATGATGTGCCTCTTTTCCACGTCCATCTGCCCTCAGCTCCAGCTTGCTTGGAGCTACAATCACTCTGAGCTCCATTTCGCTCTGAGCATCATCTGCTCAGAGCTCCATCTTACTCTAAGCATCATCTTTTCTGAGCTCCATCTTCTCCAAGCTCCAGCTTGCTCGGAGCTCCAATCACTCTGAACGCCATCTTGCTCTGAGCACTCTCTACTCCAAACTCCAATGGCTCAGAGCAATGTTTGGAATGCCAATCATTCCGAGCTCAATTTTGCTGTAAGCATCTTTTCTGAGCTCCATCTTACAACAAGCAACATGTGCTGCAAGCTCCATCTCGCTTGGAGATCCTTCTTGCTTCACGCTCTATTTATTCCAAGCTCCATCTTGCTCAGAGCTCCAATCACTGCAGGCACTATACTTTCTCTGAACACCATCTGCATAGGCATTTATCTTACTCGGAGCTTCATCTAGTCAGATCCATTTACTCTGAGCTTCTGGAAGTTCTAATCACTCTGCGTTCCATCTTGCTGGGAGTTCCAATCACTTCCAGCTCCATTTTGCTCTGAGCACCATCTGGTTGGAGCTCATCTTACTCTGAGCAACATGTGCGCTGAGCTCCACCTTGCTTGGAGCTGTAATCATTGTGGGCTCCATTTGCTCTGAACTCCAAAACCTGGCAACATCTCCAAACTCCATCTCACTTAGAGCTCATTTTTGCTCAGAGCTCTATCTACTCCAAGCTGCATTTTACTCAGAGCTCCAACTGTACAGATCAATGTTCAGGAGTGCCAATCACTCTGAGCTGCCTCTTGCTCTAAGCACTATCTGCACCAAGGTCCATCTTACACCAGCAATATCTGCTCCAAGCTCCATCTTGCTTGGAGCTCCTTGCTGCTCAGAGGTCTATCTGATCCCAGCTCCATCTGGTTCGAAGCTCCAATCACTCCAAGCTCAATCTTGCTCTGAGCACCATCTACTTGAAGCGCCATCTGCTCTGAGCTCATCTTGCTTAGAGCTCCCACCACTCTGAGCTCCATTTTGCACTCAGCACCATCTGCTCAGACTTTCATCTCCTTGGAGTTCCACTTGCTTCAAGCTCCATCTTTCTCAGAGCTCCAAGCACTCCAAACTCCATGTTGCTCTGAGCTCCATCTGCTCAGAGCTGTCTTCTCCTAGGTCCATCTTGCTGAGACTTCTAGTCATTTCCAGCTCCATTTTCCTTTGAGTACCATCTGCTCAAAGCTCAACATTCCTGTAAGCAGCATGTTCTCTGAGCTCCATCTTGCTTGGAGCTCTCATCACTCTGAGCTGCATCGAAAACTGAGCAATGTCTGTCCCAAGCTCCATCTTGCTTAGCGTTCCTTCTTGCTTAGAGATCCATCTTCCTCAGAGAAATGTTCACAGTTCCAATCACTCCAAGCTCCATCTTGCTCTGAGCTCCATCTTACACCAGGCAACAACTTCTGCAAACTCCAGCTCACTTGGAGGTACTTCTTGCTCAAAGCTCTACCTCCTCCTAGCTCCATCTTGCTCAGAGGCCCAATCACTCTGAGCTCTATCTTGCTTTAAGCACCATCTGCACAGAGTTTTATTTTTCTGAGTTTCTAATCATTCTGAGGTTCATCTTGCTCTGAGCAAAATCTGCTTGGAGCTCCAGGTTGCTCTGATTACCATCTGCCTGGAGTTCCATCTTGTTGGGGGCAATTTCTGTGAGCTCCATCTGTTCTGAGCTCCAATCTCTCCAAGCTCCATCTTGCTGTGAGTACTATATCCTCAGAGCTCCATCTACTCTGAGCTCCATCTTGTTCTGGGCACAATTTGCTCGGAGCTCCATCTTGCTCTGAGCACCATCTGCTCTAAACCCCATCTGCTCAGAGTTCCTTTGCTCTATGCTCCATCTTGCTCAGAGCTCCAATTACTCTGGAGTTCCATCTTGCACTGAACATCATCTGCTTGGAGCTCCATCTCACTGTGAACAACATCTTCTTTGAGCTCCATCTTGCTCTGAGCACCATCTGCTCAGAGCTCCATTTTCTCTGAGCTCCATCTTCCTAAGAGCTCCAACCACTTCAAGCTCCATTTTGTTCTGAGTACCATCTACTTGGAGTTCCATCTTGCTCTAAGCACTATCTGCTCGGAGCTCCATCTCACTGTGAACAACATCTTATCCAAGCTCCATCTTGCTCTGAGTACCATTTGCTTGGAACTCCTTCTTACTCTGAATAACATTTCCTCCGAGTTCCACGTTGCGCAAAGCTCCATTAGCTCCAAGGTCTACCTTGTTTGGAGCTCTAATCACTCTGAGCTCCATCCTGCTGTTAGCACCATCTGCTCTGAGCTCCACCTAAAACCAAGCAATATCTGCACCAAGCTCCATCTTGCTTACAGCTCCTTACTGCTCAGAGGTCTGTCTGCTCTGAGCACCATCTTGTTCAGAGCTCTATCTTGCTCTGCACTCCATCTTACACAGAGGAACATCAGCTCCAAGTTCCATCTTGGTTGGAGCTCCTTCTTTTCTGAGCTTAATCTGCTCAGAGCTCCATCTGCTCTGAGCTCCATCTTGCTCAGTGCTCCAATCACTCCAAGCTCCATCTTGCTCCATGCTCCAGTCACTCCAAGCTCCATCTTGCTCAGAGCTCCATCTACTCTGAGCTCCATCTTGCTCAGAGCTCCAATCACTCTGAGCTACATCTTGCTCTGAGCACCATCTGCTCTAAACTCCTATCACTCCGAGCTCCATCTAGCTCTGAGCTCCATCTTACCAGAGGAACATCAGCTCAAAGCTCCATCTTGTTTAGAGCTCCTTCTTGTCTGAGATTAATCTGCTCAGAGCTTCATCAGCTCCAAGCTCCATCTTTCTCAGAGCTCCAATCACTCCAAGCTCCATCTTGCTCTGGGCTCCATCTGCTCCAAGCTCCATCTTGCTCAGAGCTCCAGTCACTCCAAGCTCCATCTTGCTCTGAGCTCCATCTGCTCTGAGCTCCATCTTGCTCAGAGGTCCAATCACTGAGCTCCATCTTTCTCTGAGCACCATCTGCTCTGAGCTCCTTTCACGCCAAGCTCCATCTAGCTCTGAGCTCCCTCTTACACAGAGGAACATCAGCTTAAATCTCCATCTTGCTTTGAGCTCCTTCTTTTCTGAGATTAATCTGCTCAGCGCTTCATCTGCTTAGAGCTCCATCTGCTCTGAGCTCCATCTTGCTCAGAGCTCCATCTGCTCAGAGCTCCATCTTGCTCTGAGCTCGATCTTGCTCAGAGCTCCATCTGCTCCAAGCTCCATCTTGCTCTGAGCACCATCTGCTCTGAGCTCCATCTGCTCTGAGCTCCATCTTGCTCTGAGCTCCATCTTGCTCTGAGCTCCATCTGCTCTGAGCTCCATCTTGCTCAGAGCTCCATCTGCTCCAATCTCCATCTTGCTCTGAGGACCATCTGCTCTGAGCTCCATGTGCTCCGAGCTCCATCTTGCTCTCAGCACCATCTGCTCTGAGCTCCATATTGCTCAGAGCTCCATCTGCTCCGAGCTCCATCTTGCTCTGAGCACCATCTGCTCTGAGCTCCTATCACTCCAAGCTCCATCTAGCTCTGATCTTCATCTTACACAGAGGAACATCAGCTCCAAGCTCCATCTTGCTTGGAGCTCCTTCTTGTCTGAGCTTAATCTGCTCAGAGCTTCATCTGCTTGGAGCTCTGTCTGCTCTGAGGTCTATCTTGCTGAGAGCTCCATCTGCTCCAAGCTCCAATCACTCTGAGCTCCATCTTACATCTGAGCTCCATCTTACACAGTGGAACATCAGCTCCAAGCTCCATCTAGCTCTGACATCCATCTTACACAGAGGAACATCAGCTCCAAGCTCCATCTAGCTCTGAGTTCCATCTTACACAGTGGAACATCAGCTCCAAGCTCCATCTAGCTCTGAGCTCCATCTTACACAGAAGAACATCAGCTCCAAGCTCCATCTTGCTTGGAGCTCCTTCTTGTCTAAGCTTAATCTGCTCAGAGCGTCATCTGCTCCAAGCTCCAGCTTGCTCGGAGCTTCAATCACTCCAAGCTCCATCTGGCTCTGAGCACCAACTGCTCAGAGCTCCAACCACTCTAAACTCTATCTTGCTCTGAACACCATCTGCCCTGAGCTCCATCTGCTTAGAGCTCCAATCACACCAAGCTCCACATCTTGCTCTGAGCACTGTCTGCTCTGAGCTCCATGTTGCGCTGAGACCATATGCTTGGAGCTCCCTCTTATACTCTGTGCAACATGTGCTCTGAGATTCATAATGCTTGGAGCTCCATCTCACCTGGAGCTCCATCTGCCCCGAGCTCCATCTGCCCCAAGCTCCATCTTG